CCCAGACTCTGAAGGAAAGAGCAGTTACTAGTCACCAGGAGAAGAGAAAGAAAAGGAATTGGTCAGACAGCAGGTGGTCCAAGAAGGCTCGCACAGCCCCAATCAGCCCTGAATTTAATCAGGAGACAGGAATTAGATGCAGGCTAAGAAAGGCAGTGCTGCTGGCCTGGCTTTCCTGCCTTCCCAGCCAAGGGGAGTTAGAGAGGCGAGCCCCCAGGCATGCAGAGTGGACACCTGGGAATGTCAGAACAAGGGGAGGCTGAGGGAGGCAGATGTAGGTAGAGAGAAAGGGGACAGGTGGCTGCCAGCACGCCCTCCGCGGGTGTCAGACTCCTTCTGCAGCCACAGCCCACAGAGCACAGGGTCCCTTGTGGGTGAGCGCTTGTTCTCTCCATGATTTCCCGCTGCCATGGTTGGGTCACAGGCACAAGCATTATTTAAGTGAACCCAACAGTGGTTGAGGGCATCTTCAGGGATCAGGCTCTGGGCAGGTGTCAGGGATCAGTGATGAATAATCATGGTTCCTGCCCTGCCTCCATTCACAGGGAGAGAGCCACAAAGGCAGGCGGACGAGTGACTCCGCCCACTGCCCATCACACCCAAGATGGCACCTGCCAAGGCCGGGAGACTCCACTCTGCCTGGGGGGCTGGGAGAGCTCCACAGAGCATGGCCTCTCAGCCAGGGCATGGGAAATCCGGGAACGTTAGCCCGGCGGGCAGAGGCCGGGTGACCCTGTGGAAGGAAGCTCAGAATCATCATGCATATGCTGGGTCTGGAGAACTCGCGGGGATGTGGGAGCAAGAGGGACAACCGGGGACAGGCTGGACCCCTTGGGCGCTCTGCTGGACAAGCCCAGTCCCCGCTGGCCCAGGTGACTCAGCTGGGCTGCTCAGCGAGGGTGAGGGGCCCAGGAGGGCTTGCTCAGACACGAGAGGGGAGTGGGGTTTTTGAGAGCCTGGCACCTGGGGAAGCTCTGGTGGCAGGGCCTGCCCTCCTCTGCACGGTTGCTCCCAGTCCTGGAAGAGCGTCCTCCACTCCCCCAGCCACCCACTCCTGCCCACCTGTGACCACTTCACGCAGAGTTCGTTGTTCCTTTGCACCTGCCCCAGCTTCATTCGACAGCAGAAATGTGAGGAGAGGCCTGAGAAGGCCAAGGAAAGATAAAGCAAAATCCCTTTAGAAGAAGTGTCTCTATAAATGAGTACGATTTGCAGAGCAGTCAGCAAGTTCTATGAAGAGTCTGTGGCCTGCAGCATCGGCATCCCATATGGGTGCCAGTTCACGTCCTGGCTGCTGTGCCTCTGATACAACTCCCTGCTAATGGCTTGGGAGGGAAGCAGAGGATGGTCCGAGTACTTGGGCCCCTGCACTCACATAGGAGACCTAGAAGAAGCTCCTGGCTCCTGGCTTCAGATCAGCTCAGCTCTGGCCATTGCAGCCACCTGGGGAGTGAGCCAGCACACGCCTTTCTCTCTCGCTGTCTCTCCCTCTTTTTCTTTCTGTAACTCTGCCTTTCAGATAATTAAAATTATTTTTTTAAGAGTCTGCTTAAAACCTCAAATGGTTCCCCACCAGTTTAAAGGTAAAATGCAAACTCCCTGGTGTCCTGCACAGGCTCCCCACACCGGCTCTGTTTGCTGTCTGTTATTACCCTCCCCAATCCTCTCTGCTTTCACGTCTAGGCCCTGATACCATCAAGCTGCTAGCAGCTCCTGTGTCGTCCTCTGCTGTCAAGACTTGCAGCTCGCTATTTTCTCTGTCTGGCGTTTCCTTCTTCACCTTGCCCGCCAGGCTACCATTTCCCATGATTTTCACAGCAAGTAAATCCTAGTCTTGGCCACCCCTCTCTTGCTTGGCTCTGTTAGAAGCAGTTCCCTAGAGCTCTGGGAGTATGTCTCTGCTACAGTTGGAGCCTTCACCAAATGGTGTCATTTGTGTATCACCATGGTAGAAGCTCCCTCTCCCATCTTTGTGTTCTGTGCCTGGGACAGTTCCTGGCATATAATATGTGATCAATGAAGGCCTAGGGAAAGCATGGATGAGCTATAAAAATTATTCTATCCCTTGACCTAGTAATCTCAATTCTAGGAGTTTATCCTAATGAAATATTACAGAAGAAGGAAAAAGAAATGTGCATGTAAGTATTCATGGCTAGGTTATCTTCATTAGTAGCAAACCAGAAGCAATCTAAATGCCAACAATAGGGGAATTGTTAAATGAGTTACAGACTATTGTACTGCCATTAAAAAGAATAACTAGTGAAACCGCGTAACAATGTAGAAAATGTTTCTCACACAATCTATGGTTTTAAAAAATGTATACACGTTGTACGCTCACTCTGATTATAATTATCTAAAACGAAGAGCAAGGGCTAAAAGAGAATATACAAAAAGAAAATTAGTTGTTGCATTGGATTTAGTCAACTAAAGTGATTTATTTTCCTGCTCTAAAACTCCTTTTAATGCTATTATGATAATATTTATGTGGAGAAAGGAAATAGCAATTCAGTTCATGAGCCATGCAATCCGGGGCTCTGCCTCTAAGAAGGGTTTTGAGGAAAGTGTTTTCCTTCTGAACAATGGCCTTAAGAAGATGCGGCTAGGCCCCGGATGCCTTGGCTTCTCCCGCTAGGACCCGGCGAACCGTAACGCATTCACACACTCAGAAAGCTTCTGGTGTTTGCAGCCCACAATGGCACAAATATGGGTCCTAACTACTTTAGCTTTTCCCCTCCCAGGCCAAGCAAGAGCCTGATCTTTATGAATTTGCCTCAAGCGCTTGAGGCTGCCACCCTCATCTCCCTGTAATTCCCCTGGGACCTACACCTTATCAGGCGTGTGCTTGCGTGCTCACTGTGTACCAAAGGCTGGCCACGCGTCTGGCTGGGTGACAAGCCAGCCCTGTTTGGTTTTAGAACTGGAAGTCTGGCGTCAGCGCGGCTGGTCACCCTGGTAGCGAGCTTTGCTGTCGTGCACTGGAGTTAAAGTTACAAAGCAGGTGGACAACAAGCTGCTGTCCTCAGGGTGCGCCCCCAAAAGCAGGAAATGATCCAAAGAGTCACCGGCAGTTCTAACAGGTTACAAAGGTTGGCACCAGCTGCTACGAATACCAAGAATCAAAGGTGATGCTTTTTGGGCACACATCTGTGTGTGTGTGTGTGTGTGTGTGTGTGTTTGGGGCAATGGATGGTCCACAGGGGAGATAGGATTGGAGCTGGACATGGAAAGAAGTATAGACTTTCTCCAGGCAGACCAGCGAGGCCTCAGGTCTGAGCTCGCCCAGCGTTCTGTGTGTGCTTCCACGGTTGCTTTCTCCGGGGAAAGCACAGTGTTCCCGTGGGATCCAGCACCCTTCTGCATGTGACCCAGCAGTTGGCCTTGAATTTCTCTTTTAAAGATTTATTTATTTGCTTGAAAGGCAAAGTGAGAGAGAGAGAGAGAGAATCTTCCATCTGCTGGTTCATTCCCCAAATGGATGGTCACAATGGGTGGAGCTGAGCTAGGCTGCAGCCCAGAGCTAGGAGCTTCTTCTGGGTCTCCCACATGGGTGCAGGGCCCCAAGGACTTGGGCCATCTTCTACTGCTTTCCCAGACCACAGCAGAGAGCTGGATCGGAAGTGGAGCAGCAAGACTCGAACCGGTGCCCATATGGGATGCTGACATAGCAGTCAGCGGCTTTACCCACTGCACCACTGCGCCACAGAGCCGGCCCCTCAGTTGGCCTTTTCTGTCATCTGCTCATGTGTTCTAGTCTTCTTCAGATAGAAAGGGCCCAGTCTTGAGTGCCTGTTCCTGCTCACATTTGCCAGCTACGCGTGTGTAACTTGAGAATGAAGTCTGAACGCTGTGCTCCTGGCTTCAGTGTGGCGTTGTGTCCTCTATGCTTCTTCATCCCAAACACCTGCCCCAGGCAGCCCTTTCCGGGCCTGGTCTGCTTGTATGGCTTCCACCGTCAAGGAGTGATGGCACGAGGGGTACGGAGGGTATGGACTGAATTGGGTCCCCCTCTAATCCCTCTGTTGAAGCTGTAAGCTCCAATGCGGCTATATTGCCACATAGGGCCTATCAGGAGGTGGGGAAGATTAAGGCGGGGTCACAGGCTGGGACCCTAATCCAATAGCACTGGTGACCTTATAAGAAGAGAAAAAGACACTAGATGTCTCTCTTTCTCTCTCTTCAGAGGAAAAGGCATGTGAGGACCGGGGAGAAGGTGGCCTCCTACGAGCCAGCAAGGGAATCTTACCAGGAACAGAATTTGCCGGCGTTGTGCTCTTGGACGCAGAAACTAAGTGTTGGGGTGAGCCCTGGGGCACAGTGGGTGGAGCTGTGCTTCAGACGCTAGCATCCCATGTCGGAGCGCTGGGTCAAGTCCTGGCTGTTTCAGTTCCTCTCCGGCTTCTTGCTAATGCACCTGCCTGGGAAGGCAACAGGCGACTGTCCAAGTATGTGGGTCCCTGCCACCCATGCAGGAGACCTGGGTGGGGCTCCTGGCTCCCAGCTTCAGCCTGGCCTAGCCCTGGCTGTGGTGGCCTTTTGGGGAGTGAGGCAGTGCATGGGTGATCTCTCTCTCTCTCTCTCGTACTCTGTTATGGCAGCCTGAGTAGACTGCGGTACTGATGCTCTGTGGCTGAACTGTAGCACCTAGGAATAGGGACCCACCTTAGGTCCTGCTCTGGGCTCCATGGTGAGGCCAGACATGAGTCAGTGACCAGTGTAACCCTCCTCACCTATTGAGGGCTGGCCAGGAGAGAGCAGATCTTCAGTGCCAGGGGGAGGGAGCTGGGGTCTTCTGTAGGAAAAGCCCAGAAGCATCAAGCCTGCGGGCCCATGAGCCAGAGCCAGCCCTGTTCCCTTTCTCCTTAGAGGCCTTTCCTCCCTGACACAGAAGACATAGATCACGCCACGGGACTGTTCCAAACACCTGTTGGAATTGCAGGCCAGAGTCTGGAGACTGCCCATGTTCTAGAATCATCCCCTGCTCATTGCTAGACTGTGTGATGCTCACAGCCAGGGTTGGGCACAGGGACCTCACACATCTCCCTGCTTTACAGGTGACAAAACTGGGGCCTGGTGGCCAAGGGCCTTGTACAAGGTCACACGTGTGTGAACCAAGAGAGTGGCCCCGCGGTGCGGGTCTACTGCCTCTGCTGCCGGCGATTCTCCCACCCCCTGCCCCAGGAGCTGGGAGCCCCTCCCTGGGGTCTGCGGGGCGCAGGCCGTCTGGGATCAGCTCCTGCAGGAGACCCTGCTTCTGAGCACATTTCCTGGGCTGAGAAGAGTAGCCTGGAGCTATTCATTCGACAATTGCTCCTTTCAGGCCAGATTTGTTTTTTGATTTGTTTTCTGTTTGTCTTTTTCTTCTGGGGAGGGAGGGAGAGGTGGGGGGGAGCCTCGGTTTTTCCTGAGAGCTTTGTATTTATTTCTGCTTCTGTTGTGCGGGGATTTTAAATGACGATGCTTTGATTTTTTCTGCCTCCTTGGGAGACTTGTGCAATTTAAAAAAAAAAAAAAACATACTGGCTCTGGTGGTACATTTCTGCTCATCTTTGCCTGTTTTGGAAAACCCAGGGCCTCAGTGCCGACTCTGTGGCTGTCTGTTTTCCTTCTCCCCATCTTTCATGGGGCATAGGAAAGCCATCGGCTCCATGGGCTTGGCTGAAGCTGAGTGAGGGGAAGAGAGGGAGAAAGCGCCAGGTACCAAGCGTAACTCTATGCATGAGCACCAGCATCCTTGCCGCTCTGCCAGTCTGCGGTGAGTACTTGAGCTTGAACCTGCGACCGTGACCTCACGGCTGTGAGAAGCCATTACACGGTCGGAAGAGAAGGTGGGTGGGCGTGCATTTGATTTTGGTCAAGTGTAGACATTTCCGGGAGCAGACGCTGAATATGATTCCATGTGTGTGTGCCCTGGCAGGTTGAACAAGGAGCCGTAGTTACCCTGTGAGCAAGTAGGCAAACGTGCAGAAAGACATGGGCGGAAATGAGGAGGGCATGGTGCACAGAGCCCAGATAGAGCAGAACCAGACAGAAAACCGGGGGTCAGGTCTCCATCCAGCGCCTGACCATGGTGCAATGTGTTTTTAAGCGTTCTTTGGAACGAGCAGAGATGTGTGCATACCTTTGGGTTTCTGTTCATGTGAGCCTGTGAGCACAGCAGGGTGTGTCTTTGTGTTCCTGTGGGTGCACATTCCTGGGTGTGAGCGGCGCTCTGTGCACACGTGTTTACAGGGGACCAGGAGGAGAGCAGCCTGAGCTGCATGTCCTAACACAGGGGTGCGTTTGCACGGTGCTCCCCTGTGTTTGCATTTGCTGTATTCGCAACCCCAGGGAATTCTAGACAGCAGCAGTGACCACAACAAAGAGGAATGGGAAGCAGAATAAGCCTGCACACATTTCTGGAACCTCAGGAGCGGGCCCCACGCCGGCTTGATTTCAGCAGTTTCTGTTACCATGGCTATTGCTAGAAAGACTCTGCTGCTGGCTTCTCTGTTCATTTTTAAATTCCCAGCCCTGTGGTGCTCCCTTCTGAGTCTCAGTCCCCTTCCCTTGGTGCTTCCTTCCTTCTCAGATGGGAAGAGGAGAGCCAATTCCCTCCCAGGATGGGTGGCTGTGCACCCGCATGTCAACCTCCCTTCCCATCCCCAAATCCACGTGCATCTGGAAATGGCTTGGGACCCTGAGGCCCCCTGGAAAGCCGGAGAGTGAGGCCAGCTGGGTCCCTGCAGGTGTGATCCCCTGGTCCAGCCTAGGACTGTGGTGTGATGAGCCGGTCCAGCCTTGGATTATCCAGCTGCCAGCATCCAGGACGGGGAAGGGGAAGGATGACCCAGAGAGTGGAAGCCAGGAGTTCTGGTTTTATGTGAGCGGAGTCTGCTGACCCAGCAGGGGAAGGATGGGACTGAGGGAAGTGCACCCGGCTACCTGGTCCGGGCCACAGCACCATCTCAGCCCCTCCTTTTGGGCCCTTGCCCATTTTGCAACTGGGTAAAGAAGAGGCTGGGAGGCCTGGGCATTGCCATGAGAGAGCAGGAAGGCCGGGGGTGGGCGTCTCCTACTCACAGGGCTCTGCTTGTTAGCAGTTCTGAAGGCCAGGGTGAGCAGGCCCCAAGTTCCTTTGCACGTTTGCAAGTCAGCTTCAAGTGGTTCTGGCTGGTCTGGCAGTCGCAGTCCCTGGGTACTGGGACACACGGGCAGCATCCCTATGGCCAGCGAGCAGCAGCTCTGGTCCCTTTCTTGGTTTCTCCTCTAGGCAGTCAGCTCACGGAGGGCAGGGCCTGTATCCCTTTGGACTACATCTTGGACAGTGCCTTGCCTCGGGGCCCCGGCTCAAGACAAACCCTGGGCTTGGGGGCGGCCAACCTGACTGCTTCCAAACAGGATGCTGACGTGGCGGGCAACTCCTTACCCCTTCTCAGCATTGCTTCCCTCATCTAAAGAATGAGGAGCTTGGATTGAATTATCTCTGTATTTCCAGCACTGACATTTCATGATTCTATTAACTAATTGAGTTGGATGGACATAGTGGAGAATGTTGAACAACAGGCTAATTTTTCTTTGAACATTAACCAGATCCCTTGGCTGTGTCACCGACAGGTCAGTGGAAAGCAAAATACAAGCTAACTCTACCGTCTCTCCTTTTGTAGGTGAGCAGGTTCACTAAGTCATTCCTGAAATGTGCAATTGTGAACGTGGAGGTGCAGCCCAGGCCTGTTTGGGAGCTGTCTGTAGTTAGGATGTTCCAGTCACCAGCTGGACATTTCGGCTAAGGCGTTCACTACATCCTGTGACACCTAGCCTCTTTATCCCTTATGCCTTGGGGAATAAAAATAGGAACTGTAGACAAATCAGAGTCTGAGAAGCAGGTGCCGACCCCTCCAAAAGATGCAAATGGCAAAGACCTGCCTCCATGGAGGCTAGGGGCATAGGTGCTAGAATTTTCTCTTCAACTCCTGGCCACTGCCTTGATTGTCTCTTCTTTCCTTCCGGTTTTCTTTCCTTCCTTAGGGATTGAATTGCATCACCCTCACAATTTCGCATGTTGATGTCCCAAGCCCTGGTTCCCAGGAGGGTCTGTGAGTATGTAATTAGTTACGGTGAACCAGCATGGGCCAGGCGGGCCTTCCGTGCAGGATGACTGGGCCCTCATACAGAGGGGACATCTGAACGCAGAGGTGCACAGAGGGCGAGCTTCCCGTGCAGGTGCGGGTGAAGGTGGAGTCGGGTGCTATGGCTGCCACCCAGAAGACACTAGGAAACTCGGGGCGGAGCCTGCAAGGCATCTTCCCTCGCAGCCTGCAGAAGGAAGCCACTCTGCCAACAGCTTGGTGTCGGCCTCCCAGCCTCCGGAACCGGGAGACAATGGATTTCTGCTGTTCGCACTGCCCAGGCTGCGCCCTTGTGCTACTGCAGCTGTAGCGAACTCATCTAACAAGAGACATCACTTGCTGGAGACAGCCTCAGCTCTCAGCCAATTCCTCCTGCATACCCTCCCCCACCCGCTCACTCACCCCACCCAGGTGGCCTGGGGGAGGCACTGGAATAGCAGGCATAGGTCTTCAGGGAGGCTGTCAATCAGGACATCCTTCTCTCAATCCCACCCAAATCCCACTTGCTGCAGCTCCGGCTCCTTCTGTCTCATTTTGCCCTCCATAGGAACACCGACCCATCAGAGCCCCCTTTGTTTCTGGAAGCTTCACAGGGCATCACCTTCCCATGTTGCAGGTAGCTCCCACCCTCTAGTTCAAGGTGAATCTTCCCCCTCTCCGCCCCCACCCTGGTCCCTGCCCAGACTCCCAGTGGGCTGGGCAGGATCTAGGCTCCTCCCTTTGCTCCAGCCCTCTCCCTGCTCCCCCCTGTTTCCTGGACCCCTCAGCTTCAGCCCGCCCTCCCCCCGCCCTCCTGAACCACAGAGCTCCTTGGTGTGCTCGCACATGCCTTGTCTCCAAACACAGCGTGGGAAGGAGTCCCAGGGCCCGAGATGCAGTGACCGATGAGAGGGCCTGATTGCTTGTGCATAGCTGCTGAAAGGGGTCTTGACATTTTAAGTGCTCGTCAGAGTGAGGAATGACAGCGGCAGACAATGAGACACTTCCTCTTTGCCTTTTGCTGGCTATTAATAAGTGTTTCTGATTCTGCCGATGTGGGAGAGATTCTGGGCCACTGGGTTGGGTGTGCTGTGCAGTTTTTTTTTTTTCTCACTTTGTCTTTCTCCCAGTCTCCTTCTCTCTCCTGCCTCCGCCTGTGCCAGCTGTCGGTCTGCTTCTCTCCTCAGCGCTCCCGGCTGTGGGTCTTGGAGTTGGATTTGCTGGTGCTTGGAACTGGCATTAGGCAGCTGGCCTCAGCCCTGCTCCCAGCTCTCTGGTGGAATTCAATCCTCCCCGGCCTGGACCAACTGCCAAATCCCCCTCGCTTTCCCCAGGGCTGGAGAGGAAGGGGAGGGAGCTCGGGGCTGGGCAGAGACGGGCTGTGAGGCTGGAACTGGGAAAGGGACACCAGGAAAGGCGGCATGTCGGGCCTTGGGGGCAGTCAGTGAAGCTGGGACACAGGAGAGGCCCTGGGGACAGGCAGTGCAAGGGGTGCAGGAGACAGAGCGACCCTGCCCTCCATGGCTGCCTCCTCCCCACCGCCTCTCATGTTCTTGTTTCCAGCTGCACCAACCTCAGAGACGCCACCAGTGGCTCTGTCCTTGTCCCTAGCCCACACTGGGCAGTGCTGTTTGTTCCTGGCCCTGGGGAGTGTCATTTAAGAGGGGGCCATTTGGTGTCCCCTGCCCCCGCCTGGGTCCCCTGGCTTCACTGTTCTGAAATCCACCTGCTCGGCAAATACGGGCAATCAGTAGCCATCCAGAAGTGCCCAGAGTTGAGGGGTTTTCCTTAGCACTGAGCCTGGGGCAGTCTTGGCGCCTCCCCCTGGACACATAGTCACACCCCTCCATGTTCCACTGGCCCCTGGGCCTGGCCCTGACCCCCCTTCTCAAGACACACCCTCAGGGCTTTAAAAGCCTTCTGTTTGAACATGAAGTGGGTGGTGGGCTGCTGCTGGGGATGGGCAGAGGTGAGATCCGGTCCCTAGAAGAGCCTCATGGCCTTCCCACCCGGCAGGAGATGTCCAGCCTGGGCCGTGAGACCCCCCCAGGGATGCCACCCGGAGCAGCCCTCTGCTGTCAGGGCCCACCTGGCGCTCACTGCCCGTGTCCTCATCCCCGCCTCCCCCGCCTACCCCTCCTCCCCAGCCACCCCCTCCAGTGCAGCTTCACTGGAGTCCAGCTCCAAAGCCTTATCCCCAGCCGCAGCCTTTGGATCTCTTTATTCTGATTCAATTACATACACAATATGAGCTTTGCAAACAGAAAATTACACGCTGCAATAATTGAATTCTTTCCTGGACTTGAAGCTTGCTGGGCTGTGGTGTGGAGCAGCTCGCCCAGACACCCAGCCTCGCCCCAGGGCCCCACCCGCACTCAGCACACTCGTAACTAACGTTTAAACATCATTTTCTAGTGAGTGGTCTTTCTGCCCCCACCAGCTCCTTTGAACTTTGCAGCTACGGGAAGGAAGGCATGTAGCCGGCCCTCCTATCTGGGGGTTCCGCATCTCTGGGTTCAGCCAGCCACGCATGGACAATACCTGGGAAAATAGATTGGCTCTGTACTGAACCTGTGTGGACGTTTTTGCTCATCGTGATGACTTAAATGACGCAGTGTGCCGCCATCTCCGTAGCATTTACATGGCATCCGTAGTATAAGCAATCTAGAGATGATTTCCAGTTTGTGGGAGGATGTGTGGGTTCTACGTAAACACTGCACCATCATGTATAAGGGAGTTGAGCACCTGCAGATTCTGGTATGCGTAGGGGGTCCTGGAAGCCATCCCCTATGGATACTGAGGGTCCACCATGTGTGTGTGTGTGTGTGTGTGTATCATTATACCATTATTTATTATTTATCATCCCCTCTTTACAAATGAGGAATTTGAGACACAGAACAATTGTAACACATGTCCAAGGTATCATGACAAATAATTACAGCAGAGTCAAGGTTTTTTTTTTTTTGGGGGGGGGGGGGGGGGTGACTTTTATTTATTTTTTTATGTGAATGGAAGAGTGACACACAGAAAGGGAGAAACAGAGAGATTTTCTGTCTATTGGTTTATTCCCCGAATGGCCACAACAGCCTATACTGGGTCAGTCCAAAGCCAGGAGCCAGGAACTCCGCCCAGGTCTACCTTGTGGGTGGCAGAGGCCCAAGTGCTTGGGTCATCATCATTGCCTCCCATTAGCCGGGAGCTGGATCAGAAGCACCGAGGAGCTGGGGCTGAGGTGGTAATTTCACAGGGATGCATACTGCACCACAACACCCATCCCATCCCAGGTCCAAATCCAGGTCTCCTGAGAGAGACTTCAGGTTTCCCCACTGCAGTCTGATGCCCAGTTCTGACCAGCTCTGGCTGGCACGTGGGTCTGTCTGCTCATCAACCCTGCTTCTGGGATAAGGGAACGTTTGCTTTGTCCCCATTAGCTGAGGCCCATGAGTTATCTGCAGAGGGCTGCATGCAACTGATCCTGTTCCCAACCGCAAGTCAAAGCCATTGTTTCAAAACCTGTGAAACATCTTTGAACAAAAATAACCTGGGAACATTCCAGAGGGCATGTTCCTCCTATCGTTCTACCGAGGCTGTTCCTCCAGGGACAGCAAGGCAAGGACTCTCATGTTCATTTCCCACGCCTTCCTTAAACTCAAGCCGCACACTAGTTCCTTGGACATTGGCAGTAATCACGTGGTGACTCTGTCCCCCGCATGGAATCCCTCCTCTGCTGTTGACTGAGCGTTTGCTATGCACTAGGCGTTTGTAACTCCATTCAGGCCCCACGACAGATTAATAACATAAGTACCATTGTCTCTTTGAGAGAGAAGGAAGTGGGGTGTAGGGCCGCAGAGACACTCACCCAAGCCCTTACTTCCAGGATGAGAATGCAGGTCCACAGGGGCAGGGCTCCTGCTCCTGACGCCTGTGCTGGGAGCTGGTTGGGATGTGGCTTCTTCCTTCTCTGTGAGTTCAGACTCACCCCATCTTTGAACCGGATGGCTAAGCACCCCCCTTAATGGTCTCCTTGTAGTTTCATCCTCCATACTCAGCCAGCAAGTTAGAGAATATAGGGCCTACCTATTCAGTTTAAAATTTTTTTTAAATTTTTGTTTGAAAGGCAGAATTACAGAGAGAGAGAGAGAGAGAGAGAGAGAGAGATCTTCCATCTGCTGGTTCACTCCCCAAATGGCCCCAATAGTCAGAGCTGGGCCAGGTTGAAGCCAGGAGCTTCTTCCAGGTTTCTCCCATGGGTGCAGGGGCTCAAGCACCTGAGCCATTTTCTGCTGCTTTCCCAGGTGCATTAGCAGAGAGCTGGATCGGAAGTGGAGCAACCAGGATTCCTTCCAGTGCCCCTATGGGATGCCAGATGGCAGCTTAACCCTCTACATCACAGCACTGGCCCCTCAGCCAGTAAGTTATTTAATAAACATGTCTGATAAACCATGCTCAGGCTCAAAAATACCTCCCTCACTCCCAGTACTTGCAGGAAACTAGAAGTTCAAGATCTGTGGGGCTGGACAAGGTACTCTGTGATCTCTGCTTATTCTCCCTGGAGCCTTCCTTCTGCCTCTTTTCTTTACACGTTCTCTGTAGTTCTGCCAAACTGCTTACAACCCCTCTGCTGCACGCACCGGGAGTTTCACATTCACCGTTGGCACATAATACTTCTCCTCTCTGGAGCGCCCCTCCTACTTTGCTGGACTTGATGTCACTTCGTCACCAGAGAATCGTCCTCTCTGGAAAGCCGAAGCCCAATCTCGGGCAGGCACCGCCTCCTGTGCTGTGACTCCTTGGCGCCCTGGGCACCTGGGTCTTTACCTGTTTACTTGCTCCTGTGTCTGTAACCCCTCCCCTGTCCCCGCCCCCTGTCCTGGACTGGAAATTCACCACACAGAGATCGTGTTGTTCTCTCTATGCCCCAGCAGCTAACGCAGTTCCTGGCTCATGGTAATCGCTCCTTAAACAGCAGTTGAAAGCCTTTAAATCATCACACTGAGCCGGATGAAAACACATGTGTGGTCACACCCTCTAAGATCCTGAGCTTCACGCTCTCCCATAGGTCCCAACACTGCAGATGAAAGGAGATGCTTACCTGTGCGGCCTGGAGTCACATACACCCACATACAGGGCCTCTTAGGGCTGCAGAGCAATCCTGGGAACGGAAAGTCTTTCTACCTCATCAGCCTCTCACTGCTTTCCCGGGGAGTCCTAGGAAGTGCAAAGGAAAGTCCAAGATGACGCCAAGGTCACCTGTAAGTCGGAGGCTGCCCTCACCCGCGGGTAGCAGACAAGGCAGAGAGGCCAATGTGCTTTCTCCTAGGCGTATCATGGGCGTTACGGTCATGCGAGGGAACCTGGGCAAAGGCAGA